GGGATCAGGTGTGGGTGGAAGGAGAGAGTACTGGGAAAGATAACTGGAATTGGGGGACATTTGGGGGGGAGAGGAAAAAACCTAGTACAATGTAAATGACCTGGAATCTGGAGGAGCCCAGAGGTTCAGCCTCAGATAAAACAAGCAGAAGTCATAAAAGCAACATACTGACAGGCTCTAGAAAAACAAGCTTTAGTCCTGAGATTTCTTACTTAAAAGTAGATTTCATGAGCTGAGGCAAGAGCTCAGCAGTTAAAATCAATGGCCGCTCTTCAAGAGAGCCCAGGTTCAAGTCAGAGCCCACAAAGTGTCTTAGAACCATCTGTAACTCCAGTCAGAAGAGATTCAGTTGCCCTCTGGCTTCTGCAGGCACCAGGCGTGGGGTGCCTAGACTTAATGTTCAGGCAAGACACTCAATATATAAAATAAAAGTAAAACTTAAACTTCAAAGTCAGTTAAGCTTGGCCAAGGATGTAGCTCGGTGGCAGAGTACAAACTAGACAACCAGTCAGTTCTCAGCACCAAGAAACAATAAAAATCAGTTTCTCACTGGTAGGAATATCTGTTTCACTGCCACCTAGTGGCAAGATCTTTAAACACAGAACCATGAAAGGCAAGGCGCTGGCGGCCAGCACTGATGGAGTGCTGCGCTCTTTCAAAGACCAGGTATGGGACACTCTCTGACTTCCCCCTCCTGGGTGTGCTGACATGAGGGACAAACAAATAACACAAACTAGTGTAGTGTTGTACACAGAAAATGGACAAATGAACACGCACCGACCGCAACACAGTGCAAACACTTCAGACCCGATGGTTCTAAGGCCCGTCAGAGGTCAAAGTACAGAAACTAAGATGACTACAACCTTGAAAGACCTGGCGCAGCATGCACACAGAGGTCAAAAGACAGTTTTCCAGAGTCGGCTCTCTCTAGCAGTTATGTGGACACCGGGATCAAACTCAGATTACCAAGCATGGTGGCAATAGCTTTTTTACCTGATGATATAACTCACTAGCCCACATACAAGAACTTGTGTGTCTGAATGCTTGCATGTATGTATGTGCACAATGTGCATGCAATCCTTTGGAAATGGAGTTATATAGAGGGCCGTGAGCTACCATGTGGGTGCTGGGAACTTAGCCTGGGTCCTCTGCAAATAGTCTTAACCAGTCCCCTACAGTCCCTGGGTAACCAGGTACCTTCCAGAATCTTAGGATACCCAGAAGTGACCAGACAAGCAGCAACAAACATCACTGCCGCAGAGAGAGTTGAACCTGAATCTGAATCAGTTATGAAGCTGATCTTCACATTCTGAAACTAATTTTCATAGGTTCATACAACTGATTTATTTTGCCTTCCCCAGTGTACCCCGAGGTACATTAAAATATGTTTGGCCTCCCCTTTCTCAAGCCCTTCTACAAGTGTCCAGCTTGTTAGTCTAGAGCAGGTCACAGGGGGGAAGCTATCTGAATGCTTGGCAGATGAAAACCCTGTGCCCCAAGGCTGCACCAGCTACTTCCTCTTTCACGTTCACATCCGCGCTGAACTGTCTAGAAAGCAAATACGGATTATACCAGAACTCTTATTTAGCTATCACTGACATTTCTAAATTAATTAAAGCATCTGCAAGTGATTTCTAGTTTTCATCACTAAGTATCAGGCTGAAAATTGGGCTTCTGTTCTTGACAACTCTATCTTAAATCACCATCTCTCCCCATTTACACAGATGATTCAACGTAAGACCAATGTGTAAACTTATTCCAGAGGACAAAGCATAGAAAGAATGATCCCTCTCAAGTATGATGCCGCAGCAAGCACCGCACAGCACTGCAGATGCCCAGCAGCATGCACCGCAGAGCACTGCAGACGCCCAGCAACATGCACAGCACAGAGCACTGCAGACGCCCAGGAGCATGCACCGCAGAGCACTGCAGACGCCCAGCAGCATGCACCGCAGAGCACTGCAGACGCCCAGCAGCATGCACCGCAGAGCACTGCAGACGCCCAGCAGC